CATCGCGCCCTCCCGCGGCGAGCCGGGGCGGCGAGGGCTGCGACGCGGCGGCCGGCCCTCGGCTTGGCCTCGAGGAGGGTCGCGGCCCCGGTGCCGGCAGCCGGGAGGGGACCCCGTGAGCGCCGTCGGGTTCCTAGCCACCCCCCGTTCTGCAGATAGGAAGGCTGGGGCAGGGGAGCTTAAGCAACCCAGGCCGCACCGCGAGTAGAAGCCGAGCGGGGGCTCGGGCCCGGGTCCCTGCCCTGGGCTCCCCCCGCCCCCTCTGCTCCCGGCGGGGCTGCCGAGGCGGCCGCCCTCGGCCTCTGCGATCCCACCCCCAACGCGCTACTCCCTCCCGGCGCTCTGGCGCGCCCCTCCCCCGGCTCCCAGTTTCCTTGTCAAAACTTCCTGCCTGGGCGAGGGCCCGAGTTCCCACCCCCTTCCTGCCCCCCGCCCCGCCCCGCGATCCGCCTCCCGCCGCGCCGCCGTCGGGCTGGGGCTGGACGCGGGGACCCTCGCCCCGGACTCCGCGGTCCCGTCCTGCTCCCCGCCGACCGCGCGGTCCGCGCCCCAGGCCGGAGGGAGACGAGGCCCGAGGCAGGTGAGTGATTGCGCGCCCCCGGCCCGTGGAAAAGAGCCTGCGGACCCCGGGGCCCCCTCCTGCCTCGAGTCTGAGACCCCTGGGCGGGGAGTAGGGAAAAGAGGGACAGGCGGAGAGAGACTTAAAGAGGGGAGAGGGGCGGCGGCGGGGGCCGAGGGGGATAGACTGGGGTTTCCGTGGCCATGAAACACGTAAATGAGACGCAGTGGGAATGAGCCTCGCCCCTGGTCACCGACTTTGTGAGTCCAGGGGCCTCTGTCGCTGGCTCGCTGCCCCCGCCCAGGGCTGGGGGAGAAGAGAGTGCCGGCTGCCCTCCTTTGCTCAAGGGAGGTGTAGCAGTAAGCGCACGACGTTGGAGTTGAGGCTGCCTGGGTGTGAAGCTCCGCTCTGCTGCTTACTGGCTGTAGGGCCTTGGCCGAGAGACTGAACCTCTGTGCCAGTTTGTCATTTCGAATGGGGACTAGCAAAATGTAGCGCCCACCTTAGGTGAGCAAAAATGGTGCCTGCTGAGAGTCTGTTGTCAGTGCTGTCTCTCTGCCCACCAGGGAGAAATGTGTGAGGATGGCAGGGAGGAGACCCAGGTTTGCAGGTCCCTGGCTCTCACATCTTTTTTATTTTTATTATTATTACTGTTATTTGAGTCAGTCTCACTCTGTCACCCAGGCTGGAGTGCAGTGGCGTGCCCACGGCCACGGCAGCCTCAACCTGTTGGGCTCAGGCGATCCTTCCGCCTCAGCCTTCCAAGTAGCTGGAACTACAGGCATGTGCCACCATGTCCAGCTAATTTTTTTGATTTATTGTAGAGGCGCGGTCTCGCCAAGTTGCCCAGGCTGGTCTCCAACCCGTGGGCTCTGGCAATCCTCTTACCTCCACCTCCCAAAGAGCTGGGATGACAAGCGTGAGCCACTGTGCCTGGCTAAATTTTATTTATTTATTTGTAGAGACAGGGTCTCGCTATGTTGCCGAGGCTGGTCTCGTATTCCTGGCCTCGAGTGACCCTCCGCCTGGCTCTCACACCTTTTAAAATTTTAATTTATTTATTTGTAGGAACAGGGTCACTCTGTGTCGCCTAGGCTGGTCTTGAACTCCTGGCCTCAAGTGGCCTTTCTCCTGGCTCTCACATCTATGCCAGTGATGAGGACTAGGAAGTTGGCTTGAGGTCTCAGGCGTCTGGGCCCTCAGTAAGCTCCATGGGTTGATGACGCCCAGCACTGCGAACAGCTGGGGGGGGTCGGGGGGAGAGGGTGGCAGGAGCCCAGGCCCCAGCAAGGCCATCCCTTGCCCTGCCCCCACCTCCAGGCTCAGTAGCTGACTCTGTTCTCCTGTTCTGGCCTTTTCTGAGTGGCCTCTCCCAGGGCTATGCTGTGATCCTAGTCCCCCGGGACAGAAACAGCTGGTGCTGGCCTGAGGTTCCCAGGCATAGCCAGGCCTCGCAGCTCCAGGCAGGATTGGGCAAGGGGTCAGTTCTCAACCCTGGCTTAAACTAGGCCTCAGGGGAGGGCTGTTCTCTGAGCCTCACCCCAGCCCACTTTGTGGCGTAGAGCCTGCCGTGTGTGCTGGCAAGCCAGGGTGTGGGGGCAGCTCGTCTGTGCCGCTGCCTCTCCGTGCCTGAGGCCTCCCGAGGTCTGCCCACCACAGCCCCTACTGAGGCTGGAGCTGCCCTCCCTGCTGCTGGAAGCTGGTCGGCCAGGCTCACCTCTTTCCCCTGGGAGGTGAAACTGGGGGTTGGCATCTGTCTCTCCACCCTCTCCCCCACCCCCCGACATTCCCTATCAGACACTCCCAGAAGAGGAAATTGCTTTCCAGGCAGCCCTGTCCACCCATCGGAAACCTGGAGAGAGATAGAGGTCAATGGGCTGCTCTCTGCCTCCCCCTACCCCAACATACATGCCAAGGCCAAGGCCAGGTAGGGCCTGCACCGTGGCGCTCCAGGAACCTCTCCTCTGAGGAGCATGGAAGGCTTGAGAAAGACCTCCCAGGACTCCCAGGGGCCCTGGGGCCCCATCCTAGCTCTGGGGAGGGTCCTGGCTCCTGGCGCCTAACCTACTTTGGAGAAGCCAGTAGGAGGGGGGATATGGGGGGTGGGGAGGAGACAGGGAGGGAGAGAAAGACAGGATAGAGATAGAAATAAATATCGAAGCAGAGATGACAGACACAGACCCAGACAGAGGCACAGAGACTCATTGAAACAGGGCCCAGAGGGGAAAAGGCAGACTTAGACAAACAGCAGAGACTCGGAGACAGAACAAAAAGGAGGTGGAGACAGAGGGAGCGACAGAGAGTCAGAGACCAAAGAGAAACGGGTAGAAGGCAGCATAGGCTTGGAGCTAGATAGACCGGGCCAAATCCCTGCTCTGCCTTGGGTTGGCTGTGTGACCTAGTAACCTTTCTGGGATATCTCTTCATCTGTTAAATTGGAGTCCTAATGGCACTCACTTGATAGGGCTGCTCAGAGAACTAGAAGAAAAAATCTAGCCCCCAGGGCCCATTTGACAACAATGGTGGTTAGTATACAGCACTCACACGGGCAGGTCCTGAGATCTAAGTCTGTGGGTGGCCTTGGCCTTGGAGTGGCTCCTGGGGCCCATCCCTCTGTTTGGGAGGAGGTGTGTGGAGTGGACAGGGAGGGGGTCATGTCTCCGGGCCCAGGATGAGGGCTCAGGCCGCCGACACACCCCTCCACCCTAGGTGACTCAGTACCCTGGATCACCATGCGCTCAACCCACAGGAACGTGGGGGCCGGCCCTGAGGAATTCCTGCCAAGGTCAGAAGGGCAAGTGTGCAGCGCCTCTTGCTTTGGAACGCTCGTCCGTCCTCTTGCCCAGACGCACCTCCCCTCACAGTGTCTGGGGCCCTGGGACCAGGCCTGGCTCTGCTGTCTGGGGTGCTGGGGAGGAACTGCAGCCTCCAAGCCCCTCTCCCCTGCCCCCATTCCTGGGAGAGGAGGGTCAAGGCTTACTAGAGTCAGAAAGAACTTCAGGGTGTGTAGGTCCACCCACTCCTCACAAATGTGTAGTTCCTCTCCATAGGGCTCGGGTGCCCTGGGGGTAGGTGCTGGCCAGAGCTGGTGAGATGGTGGTGAGGAACCAAGGAAGTGTCTTGCCCCCAGGGGGCCCCCATCCAGGGAAGCAGGCCAGCCTTAATGAAAACACCATGACTCTAGGATATCTGGGGCACCCAGGCCCACTCACAGAGTCTTGGGGCAGAGTAAGATTCACGGGGTTCCAACCTGGTGAGGAGGCTATGCTCACAAACCAGCAGCCGCAGGCAGGGTCTCCATCAGCCCAGTCGGTCCACCAGCTTGAGAGACACCAGGGGCTCCTGCATTGGCCTGGGTGAGGGCCACTTGCCCCAGAGGAGGGACCTGTGCTCCAAGATTTTGGCTGGAGTGTGGGGAGTTTTCTGGAGACCCACTCACCTCCTGTTTGGAGCCAGCCTTGGGGCAGAGCTGGAGGAGAGCAACCCAGGTCTCCTTTAGGCCACGGAGGTCCACGGTGCCTGTGCCAAGAGCTTGCAGGAAGGCCTGGAAGCCAGGGAGAACTGGCGAGGCTGGAGCCACTGAAGAGGCTTCTTGGAAGGGGCTGGCCTTGGAGTCTGGGGAGGACCCGGGACATTCCAGGGGTAGCTGGTGCAGAGGTATCTTTAGTGAGAGACATGTAGGGACAGCAGGTTGTCCACTGTAATGGGAGTACAGGTGTAGGAGTCATGAGGCTGGGCACCTGGTGGGGCTGCCTCCGAGTGTGCCCTTTCTTTTTTTTTTTTTTTTTAGTTGGAGTCTCACTCTGTCGCCCAGACTGGAGTGCAGTGGCCG